GGGCTCCTCAGAAATGCCACTAAGCCACTGTCTAGACCCCTGTTTCAGGACACTTTTATGCCTTAGGTCTCTTTCACAGCTTAAAATATAGCATAACACAGGATCCTGAGAAAATACAGAGAGAATATATTCTGAAAGTAATTAAACATGTATAGATATTGTTCTAACTAAAGTTTTCCTGCTTTGGGAAGAAAAGTGTTTATCATGGAGTCTTGAATACTATTTCATTTAGATAATTCAGATCAGTTTTAGGATGCTTTGATTCTGTCTTAAATTATATAGTTAATCCTCAGCCTATAAACACATATAAACCAACTGAAATGAAGGCATCTGGTTTATTTTGTTGTTTGTTCATACAATATAAGTAGTTGGATAAAGGGAAAACTTATAAAGAAAAAACTTCAATGTAATTGGCTTTAGAGGTCTTTCTTACCATATCATGAACAGCAGCTTTATTACTTGTCAAATAATTTCTTCAGCCAGGATTTAAAATTTTCCCTTCTATGCCAGTGATCTTTAAGTAGTTACCCAATTAAAATGCAGTATTAATGGCAAGTTATATTGTTAAGGTTGTACAGTAGCTTTACATACTAGGTGCCAACATCTAGACACACACATTCTAATTTGGCCTGTATATGCAAAAGTAGCATGTTTTGTTTTTATTTACTTTCCAGTTCATAAAAACTTGTTCTCATTTCATAGATTGTAGGTTCATATATGAATTACTGTACATTTAAGTTGGTTAAAGTGGCCAACAATTTAGACACCACAATAATTGCACTCAAATGGAAAATAATAGAACTCCCTTCTAATCTGTTTACCTTAGTTAAAGACCTGAGTAAACAGATGGGACATACAATTCAAAACAATGAGACTGGGTCAAATCAACAGGGAATGAGCCTCAGAGTTGGAGACCCTCTTCCAGGAAGACTTTGCATCCAGTCCCTACCATTAAAATCTAAGGACTATCAACAGAAGACCCGTGCTGATTTCCTGCTGAGATGGCAGGCAGGGTGAGAAGCAGCCAGGACCCAGACCATATAGGTCTTTATATATCTCATACAACATCTTATATTGTATCCAGAAGCAAATTAGAAATCCATCCCTCTCAAAGTAAACGGATAACATGCAAAATGAGAAAAAATTTAGTTCCACTGAATACTGTGGCAAAAAAGCCATTGACCTTATTTGGACCACGAATTGCCATATGTGATTTGCACCTCTGAGCAGCTGTGCTGCAGGCACCACAAACCCCTTTGATAGCTCCAAGTACAGGACATTTTAGTTGTGTTGGAGGTGACAAAGAGATGGATCACTATGGTGAAATCAGAGAAAAGACTGCCGGAAGTAAAGGGGGAAGCAGTGTTACCCAATGTTGCTATCTGAGCTAGTAGGAGTATCTTGGCCTAAAAGTAACTCTATATTGCAAACCTCATTGACAGAGGATAGGCATGCTCCTCATAAGGGGACAGGAACCTCCAAATTGACTAGATGTTTCCACCAGCCTACCCTCCTTCTTCTCCCGTTTGGGCTTCAGCCACCTCAGTCTCGTTCATGTTTTGGTCTGACTCTGGAAAAGCAGAGAGATGGTGCGTTGTCTGTATCCAAGGAAGAGAAAGAGATGTGCAGCTGAGTATCATTAGCTGCATTTGGAATGTAAATCTTTAGGGGCAGGACTCATACCTTCTGTTTTTTGCACAGTGTTAAGCACACTGATGGTAATTTAATAAACAAATAACAACACTTCATCCCAAAACAATTCATTCTCTCCCATGATTGGCTTTATATGTGCACTGAACAGGATGGATGACAAAACAGAACTCTGGAGGACTCTGCATGAGATTATTTCCCAATAACACATTGTAAACTCCTTGCAAATCTCTTAAAATATATCAAATGCTTTTAATTTACAGGTAAAGTATATACACCCAGTTGATTTGTCTGGCAATAATTACCTCTCATAGAAATTCTCACCAGCAGTATAAGATGACTTGCAAATTGATAGGCATATGGAGAAGATAGAAGAGGAGCTCTATGGAGAAACAGGGTTTGAGATTTTTGTCTTCATGTGGAGCACTATCAAAATGTGGATAGTTGCAAAATACATATTTTCTTTTTAAAAAAAAATGCTTTTAGATCACTGATTTTGACTCCTTCAGCTGGTGGGTCTCTGCTCAAACAGTGAGTGATTCTGAAAAGATGATATCTGAATTAGGAATAATAAAACCTGTTTTAGTAACCGGATGAAGCACTCTGTGGGGCCTTATACAGTGTCCAAAATCTTCTTTTGGTAAAGAAAGTAATACCTGTATTCATTTTTCCCTCAGAGAGAATTCTTACAGCATGTGACACTTCTGTTTGCTCTTACATCCCTAGAAGAAAGTGACGCTCTTACACAGCTGGTGAATTGCATTTTGCCTGACCACTTCATACAGGATAAAGCAGTTCATAATAATAAGAGTCATTTGGGTAACATGATTAACCACCAGATTAATTAGTTTTACCTTTAATTTTTAGATTAAATCAACCACTGATTATTGCATCATTAGTAATGGTACATTATCTGTTTTTAAAAATATTGATCCAAATAGTGAGATCCTGAGTCTGGACTTATTGAAAAAATATATGTGGCTAATAAATGGAGAATGGGTGCAGATTCTGTCTGTGCTTTAAAACTTTTTATTGCAGCAGTCCTCCCACTCTGACCCCAAATAAATTAGGGAAAATATTAGCCATCTTAATGGAGTGAAATCATTCAGATATGAAGCTGAAATATTCTTTTTCTCTTAAGTGCCTGTTAGTAATCCTGTTTATTTAAATGTCACTATAGTAAGTCTCATTTTTAGGATCTTGTAACTTAACCATGAAAAATTGTTCCCCATTGAAATGTGACACAATGTCAGACTGAGAGTGAACATTTAAAATAATAATGAAGACCATAATTCTGTGTATCCTTGCTCATGAGAGTAATCAGTTGTTCATAGTCATGCTGGAAGGGCATAACGAGTGCACGGATTAGTTCTGGGTCCGATTCTGTTCAATATCTTCGTCAGTGATTTAGATAATGGCTAAGAGAGTACACTTATAAAGTTTGAGGACGATACCAAGCTGGGAGGGGTTGCAAGTGCTTTGGAGGATAGGATTAAAATTCAAAATGATCTGGACAAACTGGAGAAATGGTCTAAAGTAAATAGGATGAAATTCAATAAGGACAAATGCAAAGTACTCCACTTAGGAAGGAACAATCAGTTGCACACATACAAAATGGGAAATGACTGCCTAGGATGGAGTACTGCGGAAAGGGATCTGGGGGTCATAATGGATCACAAGCCAAATATGAGTCAACAGTGTAATGCTGTTGGGAAAAAAAAAAAGCAAACCTCATTCTGGGATGTATTATCAGGAGTATTGTAAACAAGACAGGAGAAGTAATTCTTCCACTCTACTCCACACTGATTAGGCCTCAACTGGATTATTGTGTCCAGTTCTGGGCACCACATTTCAGGAAAGATGTGGATAAACTGGAGAAAGTCCAGAGAAGAGCAATAAAAATGATTAAAGGTCTAGAAAACATGACCTATGAGAGAAGATTGAAAAAATTGGGTTTGTTTAGTCTGGAGAAGAGAAGAGACATAAGTTTTCAAGGATATAAAAGGTTGTTACAAGGAGGAGGGAGAAAAATTGTTCTTCTTAACCCATGAGGATAGGACAAGAAGCTTAAATTGCAGCAAGGGCAGTTTAGGTTTGACATTAGGAAAAACTTCCTAACTGTCAGAGTGGTGAAACACTGGAATAAAGTGCCCACGGAGGTTGTGAAATCTCCATCATTGGGAATTTTTAAGAGCAGGTTGGACAAACACCTGTCAGGGATGGTCTCTAGATAATATTTTGTCCTGCCACAAGTGCAGGGGACTGGACTAGATGACTCTCGAGGTCCCTTCCAGTTCTATAATTCTATGATTCCATGTGAGTAAGGGTTAACAGGCCCAGTATCTAATAAAAAAATTCAGGTACATATCATACAGATACAGGAAACGAATCCTTCCACCATGTGAGCATTTAGAATGTTGGATTACAGCTGGTTCATCAGAAAACAGCAATACATAATGGATAAAATATAAAGTGACAAACAATTCGAATGATAACATTTGATTTGCATTCTGTGTTGGTGACTGCAGACTTCCAGTTCTGTCACTCTAGCTGTATGAGGACTAAGTTGTGGTCTTGTTGTCAGTGGGAGTTTTACTGTTGACTTTAATGGGATCAGGATTTGGCTAGTATTTTATGGGTAAACGTAGTCAAAGAAATCAAAATTTAAATTTTATATACCTTCTTATGAGGACCAACCAAAAAAAAAGTTAGCTGAATGACTTTTCCATATTTTAAAATGAGTCTTTATGGAAAAGTCCTACAGAACAGAAACCAATAGCATTTGAGAGAGGTTACTCAAAATGGGAATTAATAGCGAGTGATACACTTCCTATAGACTTTATTTTTTAAGCATTCTGTACCAAGATTATAAGTACTAAATTATCTGTAGGACTTCTCCATATGAGCCTTTTCCCTCTGCTCTCAAAACAAAACAGCTCTAGGTTCTTAGGAGTTGCTGGAGTTCCATCTAACTGGGTAGAGTTCAAGACTGAATTCTTGATCCTCAGGCTATGAGGGACTAAAAATGAAGCAAGTTCCTTGTGTACCTGTTGAATGATCCGACATTTGAGTTGAGATGTTGAGCAGGATTTGCATGAGGGAGGATTGCTGCTGCAACAGAGAGCTTAAAGGGGATGGACAACCTCAAAAATAAACCTTCCCTTCCCGCCTCATCGCATAAATTTGAGCAGTATGGTTTTTAAGAATTCTTCCTCCATGCTTTTCCAGCCCCATGCACATAGTATCTGTCTTCCGCTGGTAGTTTTCTTATATAGTGGGACAGTGGAGGATTTAAGACATCAGTCTTGTAGCTACTTAACAAGCTGCATATTTCTTTTATCTTTTAACAGTTTACAATCGAACATTTCTCTTGTCTTATAGAGGACAATACTCACCCTTTTAGTAATGGTTACCACATCCGTTCTCTTACCTGTGCTGCAATAGCAACCTTCATCTAAAGGTAGGAACCTTTCTGTCTGTAGCATGTTGTGTCGTACCAAGCGGGAACAGTCAGGGTAGCATAACAAAGTATTCTTTAGAGCAATGCATCCACATACAAGGCTTGAACAATCTACTTACTCAGTTTTCCCAGGTATGTGTGTGGAGGAGTGGTTCACCCATCAAGTTTTGTAGAATTTCACTTTTAAAAATTACAGTCTTTATGGTTGTAACGATGCTGGCTTTGGTGGAACCCAACAGAGAGTACCAATTCAGGGCAAATTGCTTAAAGCAGGGCAGTTACAGCCCAAGCCTGGAGTTCCTTTGCACACCAAGGCAAACCAAACCAGCCAAACAGAGAAGACTCCGGTTTTACCCTACTGGCTAACCGTAAGTCACACAAGCAGTTTCCTTAGACACTCCAGTTTCCCAGTGTCACCACAAGTGCCACTCGTTATGCGGATGAATGGTTATGAAAACAACTACCCCAGTAAAAGAAAAAAGGTTCTCCCGATCCCAAAGGACCAAGTCCTAGATCCAGGTCAATATACAAATCAGATCTTAACCATAAATCACACTATTGCCAATCCTTTAGAATCTAAAATGTAAAGGTTTATTCATAAAAGGAAGGAAAAAGATATAGATGAGAGCTAGAATTGGTTAAGTGGAATCAGTTACATACAGTAATGGCAAAGTTTTTGGTTCTGGCTTGTAGCAGTAATGAAACAAACTGCAGCTTCAAATCAAGTCTGTGGAGTATATCGACAGCTGGGATGGGTCATTCAGTCCTTTGTTCAGAGCTTCAGTTTGTAGCAAAATTCCTCCAGAGGCAAGAAGCAGGATTGAAGACTTATCCCTATCAAAGTCCATTGTCAGTTTTAGTGTTTCTTGATTGGACACTTACTGAGAATAGTCTTTTCTCAAGAAGCTGACCAAATGCTTCACTGACGCTACTTAAAATCAAACAAGTACATAACCAGTATTCATAACTTCGAATACAAAAATGATACATGCATACAAATAGGATGAATATATTCAGTAGATCATAAGCTTTGCAGAGATATGTTATACGGCATAGATAGATAGATAAGCATATCTAGCTTATTTCTATAAAGCATTATGGGGTGCAACGTCACAATGGTTATGAAGAAAACCTTCCAAATGCGAACAGATGTCATGCTCCATCTGTACTGCACTTGTCACTGTGCTAACTTTTTAAAGTGTTCGTAAACCACTCAAATACCAATTCTAAAAGCAACTTGGGTGTTCTGTTTCTCTCCTATCCTCAAATATGTAGTAAAGAGATTCATTTTCTCCCAGCATTGTCCACTGAAATAACAAGTGAGCGTGGCTTAGCGATGGGTCTTACGTCTGAAGGTGTTGAGATTTGCTGCCATTCTGACACTATGACAGAGTGTTCCATGGCGAAGGGGTAGCCACAAAGAGTGCTCTGTCCCTGCTCTAACATATCTTCCCATCCATTATTGAAATTCCATTGTTTGTGAAGGATTTCAGTTTTCCTGGTATGTTATGTTTGTGAAGAAAGAAGTAGTCCATAAGGTATCTACAGTGAGTGCTTCAAAGATCAGTTCAGACTTTAAATTTAATCCAGAGTTCTATGGGAATCCAGTACAGTGTCTGCAGCACTGTGGGGTAACATGCTTGAATTGGTTAGCATGTAAACAGGCACATTTTTTACCAGCTGGAATTTTTTCAAATGTCATGTTAGTTCTCAGGTATGGCAGTAGCAGTAATTGAGTCTGGATGTCATAAATGCGTGGATCACTTTTGTTTGACAAAATGAGGGCACTTTTTTGTTTTCGTGAAGACATATCTTCAATTTCTTTAGCTAAAGTGACTTTTCTCAGACAGTCCCTCAGACAAAGTTTCACTTTAGGGCAGGTATTCTCTAGACTCCTCTTATGGATTACAGATATACTATGCAGAAGATCACATGCTATTTGGTGATCCTTGTGGACACAAGGGATTAGCAAAGAATTTCAGTCCTAATCTTGAATTTTCTGCTGCAGATTAATTTCAGATCTACATTATTCCAGTTTAGATATCTGTAATTTAAAGTTGTATTTTTGATGTACAGTTGTATCACTAAAATATTTTTGTATTATATACACTAAATTTGAATGGGATTGTGGCAGAGGACATTATCATTTTATAAAGTATTGGTGAAATGTATTAAGAGTTATGCCTTGATCTCTCAGAAAACTCAGTGTATACAATCACATAAGTCTTTGTAATAGAAAATATTCTGTTATTAGTAACTTAAACTAATTTTAGTGACTGATTTAGGGTGGGATTTTTCAAAAACATCTAAATGAGATATAGAAGCACAGGTGTGGTTAACTTTCAGTGACTCTTGTACTCAATAACTTAGGCACTTCTCTAGGATAAAAAAATTATATATGGCCAGTTGCGCACAAAAATATGTTCTATCTTTTAAAATAAAAATATTAGTTTTAGCAGGGGCTTGGAGTCCTTTTCAGAATTTTATATGTGATTAATCAGCCAGTTACACCTCATTACAATTACACCACATTATAAAGGAGCTGTAATAAAGATATGAGTAACATACAGGATAGTTTAGCAAAAAACTCCCTGCTGTTCTAATTAAGAAGTCTAAAGGAAAAGTTTTTAAAATGTCCAGGACTGGTTAATGATAGCATGTTTCTTAGACAACAAATTAAGAGAAGCAAAGAATGTGGTATATTGTCTTAATTTCTGTTGGGGTCTAAAATGTAAAGTGATATGAAATCCCAAATTCACCAATGAGCTCTGCATTAGTGCTACCATATGCTTGCGCAGTGACTGACAGAACCCCAGTGACTTCAGTAAAGATACACAAGTCCACGTCTGCAGAACAGTTGACGGGATTGAGGCCTTGGATTTAAAAATCTTTTGAGACATGGACTGTATTCATATATGTTGATACAGCATCTCATATAATGGAGCCTCTGGGCACTATTGTATTGTAAATATTAAATAATGCAAATATGATAGTGCAGCTCACTGGTGAGTCTGTTACAGGTCCCACCTCAGTTTCAAAAATTTGAATGCTATTGTTGGAGCCTCAGATTGGAGAATTACAAGATCCCAGGAAAATAGCTATGGCATAAAAATACCTACTTAATTGGATTGTCTTTCACTGTCAATGGATTTTGGGGAAGTGTAGTGGACTTCACTTAGGAGCCAGCAGTCTAGTGGTCAGGCTGTGTCCAAACAGTCTCTTTGAGCCTTAAGGTGGTTCTTAAGGGCAGTCTGGGGGTCCAATGGCCAAGCCACAGTTCATCACCTCTTCAGAGTCATTGGGGATCTCTCAGGAGGCCAGGGAAGAGGGAAGGATAGCCCAGCCCAGAGCCCAAAGGGAGAGAGGCAAGGGGTGCTCAGTCCTTTCTGACTGCCAGTCCATCAGCTCCCTGCTCTGCTCCCTACCTTTCCTGTTTTTTCCATCTGTTTGCGGCCTGGCCCCACCACTCCTTTTACCTTAGTGTGGGCCGTAAACCCCATCACATACCTTCCCCCCCAGGCTGATTGCTGTGGAGCTAGTCAGCGTGGGTGGGTCTCCTCCATCCCACATAAAGAAGTCCATGTTCATGTGGTCACATCCTGCTTGATGCAGTACTGCAAAATTTATATAGCTGTAGTGAGAGTTACCAGTGCACAATCCGCAGGTTATGGTCTTCTGTGTCATTCAGCCACTGGAGGGATGCTCGATCTGTCATGGGTTGGAATGGCTGTCCCCATAAGCAAGAACAGAGTGCTGCAATGGCTCATTTTATTGCCAAGGCCGCCTCCTCTATCACTGAGTATGCCACTTCCGGAGGGAACAATTTCCTTCCACCTCTTGGGGCAACATGGCGCCCAGGTCAACAACTGAGTTATCTGTCTGCAGGACAAAGGGTTCGAACAATTTTAGTGGAACAGGGCAGGTTCCTAAGTCAGCTGATATTTAAATTTCTTGAAGTCTGTGCCGCAGTCCCGAGACAATTGGACCTTCTTGGAGGTTGTATCTTTCACCAGGTTTGTCAGCAGGGCTGCAATTGTGGCGAAATCTGGAATAAACTATTTATAATAGCTTGACAGTCCTAAGAAGCACCATACTTGCGTCTTTGTGGTGGGTTCAGAGCATTCTGCTACAGTTTGGGCCTTTCCTGCTGAGGGGCACAGATGCCCCCTCCTCACTGTATACCGTAGGTACATCATCTTTGTATTAGCTGAGTGACACTTGGCAGGGTTAGCTGTAAGTCTAGTTCTTCTGAGGGCCTGCAAGATCACTGTGACATTTTAAATGCTCATTCCAGGACTCGCTATAGACTATTATGTCATTGATATATGCAGTTGTGTACTAATTGTGAGACCAATGAACCTTGTCCATCGGCCTTTGGAAGGTGGTTGCCATGCCTTTTAGGCCAAATAGCATCATCTTAAATTGGTACCGTTCAAACGGCATGTAGAAGGTAATCTTTTCTCAGGATTCCGAAGTCCAGGGAATCTGTCAGTAACCCCTGGTTGGGTCGAGGATGGTTATATACCTGGCAGCTCCTAATTTCTTTAACAGTTCATCAACCATTGGCATCAGGAAGGTGTTGAATTTGGACACTGCACTCACCTGCTTGTAGTTTCTGCAGAATCTGGTCAACCCATCCTGTTTAGGTACCAACACTATAGGGTTTTGTCATTTTTATGTGGCTCTCTGACCACTCCAAAGTCAAATACAGCTTGCAGTTCCTTCTGTACTGTTCTCCACTTGTGCCTCAACAATGATCAAAAGTTGGATCTGGGAGCTACAGGAGCCTGGGGCCTGAGTTTCAGTTCTGCAGAAAATGGCGATACCAGGAGCCCTTCTTGATATATTCAGGACTTTAGCAGGTTGACATGGTGCATAATTTACTGCCCCAGTTCATCTGATTACTTCAGAGGGGCCTTGCCACCTAGCAAACACTTTGGATTCCAGGGTGGGAAGCAGGAGTAACACCTGGTGCCCTTATTGGAACCCCTGGATGTCGG